GTCAACTTTAAAGGGTGCATGCAAAACAAAGTCCCTGCATAATACAATGCCTCATTGCATCGTTTTCCATAAGCAAAATGCCCCTACTTGATTTCTAATGGTTTTTTTCAATCTGTCAGACTGCCATATTCTCGATGGAGTAATATAAATTAAAACTTCCGCGCGGACAGTGAAATGTTCTCATATTGGCTCCAGAAATTAAAAGTCCTTTGACCTCATTTGCCTGAATCTCATCCTTGCAATTTGCGGGAAATTAAAAGACCAAAAAAAAGAGACTTGATTATGTGTCTAATATCTGCAAGTATCAATTTTAAGTTGCGTTTGGGAAAAGTAGATCACCACTTGAAATGAGTCAGAGACAGAGAAGTTATTTTTTTTTTACCAAGTGCAAGTGATTGATTGTGCATAGTCGCTTCTGCATGCAATTGTAAGAAATTTCAAGTACAGGAAAATCTTTTGAATGCTACTCTCCACCCAACTGATGAGACAGATGGATTTTGTTAAAACACAATAGCACACAGTTATATACACAAAAATAAATAATTGTAATTTTTATTATTTATTTTTAAGTTGAACTTACTGCATGCTGCCAGTAGGAGAAACAACCCTGCAGTAACCTAGAGCCTGCTCTACCACCACTACAATGTAGCCCCTACGGAGCAAACGTCCATGAACTTTCCCTCATGCCCCTATGCAGTGGTCAAACTACCCACTGCGAGCCCGAGCATGGTCATGCAAGGAGCTTGCTTAGCAAGTATTTTCAGAAATGTAATATTAGCATTGGATTATGGGGAAGTTGGAACTGAATGTGACGTGTGCATTAAGAAGCAACTGGGCCACCACCTTTTTGGGCGGTCTTTTCCTCATGTAATTCTTTTTTTGCAAATCCAGTTCCTTACAATTTCTACAGCCCCTTAACATGTAATGGTTTCTTGTGTTTATAATGTATCCAAATCCAAGAATAAAATCTTATTATATTGCAGCTCATGCATCTAAGAGGTGCTGGCTTCATTTGTTTCCTTTTTTAGGCTTTTTTGTTTACCCTTTATTTTCACCTCTGATTTGGCCAGAAACACACTTCTTGTCTCAGGGCAGCTACGCTCACTCCTCCACTGCCGCTGAAGTAATGTATTCAAACCCAAGAACAACATTTGTTATATATTTCAGCTCATCAGCTCTTAGGCCTGATTCACAAAGCGTAGAGTGGGGCCGTACAGATCCGTAGCTGGGAAGGTGCTGCGTGTGATTGTACACAGCAGCCTGTTATTCCCTATAGGAGGACGCGGCCGTACGCTCACCCGAGCTGCACATCTGTGCGGGTGACTGTGCTCGGGCGCACACAGCATCTATCCTGTCTGCGTCCAAGTACGGACACCCGCTCGGGTGAGCGTACAACAGCGAACGGCTGCATTCTTCCATTGTACGCAGGCTGCTGCATACAATCCCACACAGCACCTGTCCTTCCCGGGAACGGCCCGCTACAGCGGTGCACACTGCACAGATCTGTACGGCCCCACTCTACGCTGCGTGAATGAGGCCTTGGAGGTGCTGGCTTCATAAGTGTCCTTTTTCTCCTTTATTTTCACCTGTGATTTGGCCAGTAACACACTTCCCATCTAAAGGTGGCTAGGCTTACTCCTCCACTGTATCTATGGTGGAGTAGCATAGCCACTCTTAGGCAGCAGCACTTTCAACCTGTGGAGAGGGTCATTTTAGATAGGCCAACAGGTCTAGGATGGACTTTACATACGTGACTAACATATTAAAGCTTAACTCCAGGTAATATATTTAAGAAAGTTAACCTAAATCAATAGAAGCTGATCATTAGAAGTGCCCTTGTCAATGGTAACTAGTTTGTCTCAACCCTCTATCTGCCAAATTTGCTTGGCCCTTGTAAAACAAAGACTGATGTGTTAAAGCTAGTGACAGGCTTCAACATATGTGATGTGTAATTTTTTTATTTAGTCTATAGTGGAGGTGAGAAATCAAACTCAACAACAACTTGCATGCCCCCTGCAATCTTTGGTAACAGATGGACACAAGCTCAACTGTGCCCTTATTTCTTGTGGAACGTGGATTGAAGTGTCACAACACTACAATCAGCTACAGAACTTGCTTCCAGCATCCAAGTCATTATCCGGCACTCGTGCCCCGGAGTACCTGTATCTATAATCAGGCCTTCTGGGACCAGAGTTGCAAGAGAGGCCGCCCTCGTCATCTCAAGCTCCAGAAGGTATGTGACAGAGCAGCTATTTTCAGGTGTAATCACAGTCCTGTTCATCCTGGTGCCTGTGCTGCAGTTGTTATATTAGATGGGTATACATACAACTCAAGCCCTACCTTGTGAACTGCCAGAACACTACATGCTGGCGGCTGCTGTCAGAATACCTAAACGGAGCTAGCAGCTGACTCGCTGCCAGCTCGGTTCAGCAGATAATTTTCCAGCCAGCTGATCAAGGGATGCCGGCCAGAAGGGTGCTGACAGCGGCATTTACCATGTGAATTTTGGCCCATTCATCAGGAACCAGCCAGGCTTTATATTTTTATTGTATTTTGTGACATGGCAGGAATGTATTCACGCAGACATATAAAGTTAGTGATAAGTATGCTTTACACGTTAAGTGCATTCAAGCCACACATTTATATTACTGGAATCAATTAAGTAACATAAGGAACGTTAATACTCCAAAGAATAAAAACATACAATGAAAATATCACACTGGCCAGAAATGCTGGCTGGCTGCCTGGCTGCCATGAGGCAAAGAAATATGTCTAATTCATCTAAATTCAACATATGTATATCTGGGAATTGTCTGCTATTGTCTTGACATGAGGCATACAACATAAGATAACATGTATTAACGATGGCATTCCAAAGATCTGGTTTATTTGGCAACTTCTACATCAGGATACTAACTTCTTAAAAGGTGGAAATTATGTCAACAGGGATTATAGAAAATCACACGAATATCTTAAAATATACATGTACTGAGAGAAATACTGAGATTGCCACTGCTGACTTCTCCTTCCTCAAATGCTAGTTGCCTTGTTGACACATGCATCTTAAGGCTTCAGTACTTGAACAAGCATGCAGATACTGAATTCCGGCATCTCTTGCTGTTTGCGTGCTCTAGAGCAGATACTGTCAGGGTAAGCAATGGCAGATTCCATATTTCTCTCAGCACAAATATCCTTTAAAAGAGTAAAAGCACTTTCAGTGTGGTTCCTTAAGTAGTCAGTGTCCCTGCAGCCTGTGGATAGAGCTAAATGGAAGTCTGCAGTTTTTTTTGAGGGAAGTAGCATGTTCCTCACAGTACAACCTATTGATCCAAGCTTCTGAGCACATCACGCTGAGCTGAGGAAGGAGCTGATCCTGGGATCCACCAGAGGCAATTCTGGGCAAGACAGGAGAAGGACTCAGAATAGGCTATCTTCTGTATTGCCCAGACCACCATTATCCCTTGTATTTGTTTTTTTTCTGGCTTGGAATCCTGCCCATCAGCTAGTTCCTCCTGGAACTGCTCTTTAGGGCATGTTCGCCGCAGTTACAGTGCGTTCCAGAGCGGCTGACTGCTCGAACGCACTGTATCGCATCCTGGCCGGCTCCCTGCATTCTGGGGTGAGTGAGGGCTTGCCGGTGCATTCAAGTCAATGGCACCATAGCCACGCCCCCCGCCTCCACTGCGATGGCCACACCAGAACGCATGGCACAATTACTGCGTTCCGGTCCAGTGCGATCACAAACAATTGCTGCAAGCACTATATTTTGTGATCGCACTGGACCAGAACACAGGCATTGTTGCGCCACATGTTCTGGTGCAGGTGATCGCACTGCGGGCGGGACGTGTTTGCGGTGCCATTGACTGCGGTGTCCCCTCCCACCCCACAACGCAGGGAGCTGGCCAGGATGCGATACAGTGCATTCCAGCAGCCAACCGCTCTGGATCGCACTGTAACAGGTGTGAACAAGCCCTCAATAACAGCAACACAAAATTAGAAGACACACAAAATTAAGTGATGTTATCTTTTTAGGGGCCATACAAATGTACATGTGTTTCCACCCTTCTGACATTTTAAACGTATGCTAAATGAATAGCCTATCATGCAGTAGAAGAGTATCATACACTGGCACAAATATAGCCATAATTTTACAGAGCAAGTATAACCACTTTAGATACAGCCATTTCAGGCTCTGTAAAATTATGGCTATATTTGTGTTAAACACACCAGTGGTTCTGGATGCATAGATGGCTAAAAGGGTCAAAAAAGCCATACCCATAAGCAGAGACTAAGTTCCTTGTTTTTGGGTTTTGTGCTGAAAGTGAGGATATGTAAATACCTTCTGCTATAAGAAGGAAATCCTGTATTTCACAGTCATTTAGAGGTGGGCCTATTGGTTCTTTTTGTCATGGGAAGCCCCGGGAAGTCTGAGCTATCTGACCTCTGGGTTTCTAAACTGCATAAATGTCAGTAGTTTAGAAAGGTTTAAGTGAGTAACGTATTACCTTAAAAAGGCTTCAATTCAAGGAAGCTCTTTTATATTTTATACATGCCAAATAGAGGCTTGCTGAACACAATGAGGGGAATTGATCAAAACTGGAGCAGACAAATCTGGAGCAGCTGTGCATGGCAACCAATCAGCTTCTCGCTTTGATTTTCAAATCTTAACTGAACTGAAGAGAGAAGCTGATTGGTTGCCATGCACAGTTGCTCCTGATTTTGTCTGCTCCAGTTTTGATCAATTCCCCACAGTGCTCTTCTTAACAAGCTATGACTCACAAAATACCTGTATGTATGTACCAAAGCTGGCCATACAATGGTCGAAATTCAGCATACAATAGACTGGCAGAGGTTGAGTCAGGGTGGAGGGTGAAAAATTGATAGCTCTTCCACTGACCCTGGGTATCTACAATTACTAAGGAATATATTTAAACTTCAGTAAATCAGATCTTCAAAGACAAACAAAAAGTACAATGTAAGCATATCAATATAGTAATTACCTTTTTGAGTTTCTTCTGGAGTGTTAAGCTTCTTCTGTGCCTCTTCTATTTTATCTATTTAAAAAAAAAACCCGAAAAATTCACTGTAAATAAATGATTGAACAGGTATATGTAAACATGCAAATATAGTAAAGTTAAAGCGCTGTGCTCGGATCCTGATGATTAAGTAAAAACAACTAGGGGTGCTGCCCCACTTCAGCCGGGAGAAACTGTAAAACTGGAATACAAAAAAGGACAGAAGGGCGCCCAACCTAGTGCAGATTATTTTTTATTTTAAAAGACACAAAGATAAAATTGCAATGGTACTCACAATGGAGGGTCATAAAACAGCTTGTGTGGATGTTTTGGAAGAAACAGCAGTTGAGACTGCAATCTGCCTGTGTGCCACTGTGGTGTGGCGGCGTTGACGCGTTTCCGGGGTCAAGCCCCCTTCCTCAGAACGTTCTGAGGAAGGGGGCTTGACCCCGGAAACGCTTGACCCCGAAAACGCGTCAACGCCGCCACACCACAGTGGCACACAGGCAGATTGCAGTCTCAACTACTGTTTCTTCCAAAACATCCACACAAGCTGTTTTATGACCCTCCATTGTGAGTACCATTGCAATTTTATCTTTGTGTCTTTTAAAATAAAAAATAATCTGCACTAGGTTGGGCGCCCTTCTGTCCTTTTTTGTATTCCAGGTATATGTAAACATATTAGAACATGTCTTTCTAATATTTAGAATATAGCACAATCATATACAGCCACCTTATTGTGAAATAATGAACCATTTCATCCCAATCCTGGATCTTAAAAGACGAGCTCCGATTTTACCCTAAGGACAGTATACATTTGCATGATCATTTTGGAAATATGTGCAAGTGTATTGCAACAGGTATACAAAACACAGATATTAGTTGTTTGTCCATTTGGCTTACAGCCTCACCCACAGAGAGGGAGTTAAAAAATCTATAGCATCCTTTGCAACTTCTCTAGTTGCTTTCTACTGGGGCATAAGTTCATATACTGGCTACATTCACAGCACTATATAAAGGCTGACGGGTGCGAGTACAGCCCATATATAACCGTGGGGGAACAAGAGATGACAGGTATTACATATTTTTGTATGAATTAAAAGATGCATATGAAACAAAAATCCTGCCTTCTGTTCTTTCTTTTCTCATTGAGGTTTAGAGCCATGTGAACCCCAAAATACGGCTTTCATAGAGAGGGTTGTTGTTTCTCTGAAATTACAGTGGGGGGTTGTATAGAAAAAGTGCCTGGGGGGTTTTGTTGATGAATAATAAAAGTATCTTGCTGGACTGTACACTGTATACATGACAAATAATTATCAGCAGCAAAGGCTCCATTTGTCCTTTATATGATGCCATCCTCTCATCGTGGCTTTTTCCCAATGCTACCGTTGCAGTACTCAAACAAACCACAGCCATCACACTCAACTATATTTTAACAGTATGCAGCCTTCTTGAGAAGACACAACAGGAACGTTGGCTACAAAACGTCCCTGCAAACACCCTAAGCACCATAAACTACACAAATCTTTCACACATGGAAACTGTATGAAGAACTTAATGGTTTATGTGTGATATAAAGTCATCCTGATACTATGGACAAAGCGGCCACATCCAGAAAGACTGAGAGTCTACCAGTTAAAGCCAGTCAAATCAAAACGTATTCATCAGTTCTTGCTAGATGCCACTTTCTATGAGCAACTCCAGGAGCAGGATGTCAGGCCTCAGTCAGCTTCCATTATTAGTGAAACATTTATTTATTTTACTTTACGCAAAATTTCTAAGATACCATTGACTGGCTTCATAATGTCTGTGGCAGGATCAGAGCTGGGAAGTCTTTTGAAGAATAGATACTGACAGATTTAGCAGAGAAACAAGAAGCCAATAAGGTTATTTAATACCAAAACATCTAGCCACATCGGAAAAGTCAGATTTGGGCAGACTTTGCGCCTATGGTAAAGTGACAGTAAACGCCGGAGTTTAATCTTAAAAATGCATTCAAGTACCCTTACTATTAAAAGAAATGTAAACACTGTATAACTCAGCTGTAGGTCCCTAACCACTTGCTGTCCGGGGCATTTTCTTACTATTTGCGCACACATGATAAAATATACATTTTTGGCTAGAAAACTGCTTCAGACCCCCAAACAATGATATATATTCTGAAAGCAGAGGCCCTGTAGAATAAAAAAATTTTAGTTGCAATTTTTTATGTTGCACAGGTTTTTTGCACAAATGTTTATCAAACTAGTATTTTTAGGAAAAAATAAACTAAATTAAAATTTAGTGCACAGAAATACAATACCCAATTGTTTGGTAAAATATGATAGACGGGATCATGTTGGGTAAATAGATACCAAACATGTCAAGCCTTAAAATTGCAGTCGCCCGTGAAGCCGCAACAAAAGTCAATACCCAAAATTTACCATAGGGAACACTTTAAACGCTTTTACCGCTCATCAGTTTAGTGCCAACAGGGATTGATGGCACTAGAATTATTGCTCTCACTCAGACGTTTAAGGTGATATATAACATGTGTAGCGCAACTGTCGTTGTCACACGTAGGCGCACCGACGCATGTTTATGTGCGTGCATGTGGGGGGCGGGGACTTATAAGAAAAATTACAAAATGCAAAAAAAATGTTTTTTTTATACACTAACCCTACTGCTATCACATAGGGAGTTAACAAGCACCCTACGTAATAGCAGATAGGGTGCAACAGGTCCTCTTTATGAAGACATCAGGGGTCTTTCATACGCCTAATGTCACCTAGGGACCCCAAAGAAGCTGAGGAAGCAGAGATCTGCTTCCCCAGCTTCATCTCCTGGCTCTAAGAGCCGGAGACTGTGTACAGTTACACCGGAAGTGAAGTAATGCACATCACTTCCGGGGCTAGTGATCAGAGGAGAGATCAGCGGCTGGAAGCCGCTGAATCTCTCTCCGATCACTGCAGGGGAGAGAATGTCCTCAGGTGGCAGTCTGCAGCCCTCTGCTTATATACCTTAAAGCATTGCCGATTTGTTTTAATGACCATTTTTAGTAAGGTAAAAAAAAAAAATACATTAGTGCCTGACTACAGCGCTTAGGAACAGCAGACAAAGTCTATATGCCAACATTAACATGACTAAGGCCCGGTTCACACCTGGGCGTTTTGTAGTGCGTTCGAATGCTCTCCAAAACACCAAAATCCCATTATTTCCTATTGATATGGTTCACACCTGGGCGTATTACAGGCCGTATGAACGCGCTACAACGTCCTACGCCCAAAGAAGTACAGGAGCTTCTCTGGGGCATTTTTGTCGCGCGTTTCTATTGGGATACAGCCCAGTAGCGGTTCTTTTAAAAGTGAATCGCGCAACAAACGCGCATATTCGATACGCCTAGGTGTGAACCCAGCCTTACTGCTACATAAAAAAAAAAATCTACAGCTTGCTTAAAATGTATGTCAAGTCAAATGTTTAGCTTTGGAATGAGTGGTGAAGGATAAGATCCCCTGTTGGGTTTTTATTGTGTTATCCAGTGAATTGCTCATAGCTTTAGAATGTATTAGAAGATATTGCTCTCTTGACCAAGTCCCCTACACCAACAAGGTGTCTAGGACTCCTCACCAGGCCCTCAAGCTTGCATCCAAAGTTATGGTCTTCTATGATGGTGGGGGAAAGGATTTTCTCAACTCCAAAGCCACTGGGCCAGAGACAATCTGGCATTGGGTGTCAGGTGAATGGGTTTGTCCCAATTTGTCCAAATGTCCCATCGAGGAATCAAAGCCCTGGCTTATCAAGATGCAAAGACACCGCGCACAACAAGGGAATGGTAAGTCAGTAGTGGGTAAACAATCAGCTATAGGAAGACCACAGACAATACTGGTGACTAGCCATTTGTTCTCTGCTTGTCTTTTTGGCATAGCTTAGAGTTCAGGGATATGAATATCCTAGTTTTTTTTCACTTTTGTTTGAAAAGTAAGCATTCATAGAAGAGCAATTAAGCTAACCCTCCCTCAGTTACATGCAATATGTATATATTATAAGCTATGCTTCTCTCGCCCACATCATTTTTCTTTGTAGCTGCACTGACCTTAACAAGCCAGTAAGCACAATTCAGTGCAATAACTAATGCTCCATGTGTTGTAAGCAATACAGATTATAGTTCTCTCACCAACTGAGCACTGAAAAAATGCGGATTTTGTACTAAATCTAGAATTCCAATAGTAAACAAAATATTACTCCATTGCAGCTGAGCCATGAAAAGCAGCATATTGTCCTCCTTAATCACATCATGTCCTGTGTGTCATGGTGCAGGCAATTACATAAACAGCACAATACTACAGCAGCTTTCAAATGTGTTATTTCTGGAGATAGAACATCCAATGCATGATTCCATTCCCATTGACACAATCACTAACTGTATTGTTTAACTACAGATTGAAGACCGTGATAAAAGATAATATGCATTCTGAGAAACACAGGTACTCCATATGGGATTATGGCAAAGAGAAATACAATATTGATAACTTATGCCAAAATGTTTTATTCATACAACTTTTAAAGCAGAACGGAAAGTCTATATAAAAAATAATTTCAATATGAGCTGCTAAATGCTCTACATAGAACCAATGTAAAAGTAAAACCAGTTAGAACAAAGTCCAGAACCCGACAGCCCTTTAAAATAAATGGCCCTTTCCCTGGGGCTCCAACTGCACAGCAAGGGTTAAATTTAGCAGCTCATTTCAATATGAGCTGCTAAATGCTCTACATAGAACCAATGTAAAAGTAAAACCAGTTAGAACAAAGTCCAGAACCCGACAGCCCTTTAAAATAAATGGCCCTTTCCCTGGGGCTCCAACTGCACAGCAAGGGTTAAATGCATGTTTCTTCTAAGGGGAACAGAAAAGGTAACTATACTTTATTTATTCCTCACTCCCTGGCAGCTGGAGCTCTTCTGTCTCTGGCACTCTGGGTTGTGGGCAGGCCCTCAGCTTCGTAACACTATAGGACTGCTGTTCCTGCATTGTACGTGATTAAGTCAGAGTACCTGTAACCAG